ATATATATATATATATATATATATATATATATAATGTTTACGTGTAACATGTCCTTGATGCTTACTTCAAAAAACAAATTTCTGATCTCACACCTCTGATATATGATCTGATTTTGCTTTACTATTTATTTTCAACTAGCGACTCACCCTCGCTTCGTTCGGGTTCGTCCCCAGCTTGCTTCCCAATACAAACTTTCATCCAAATTTTCACTACTTTAAGGGATGATTTCCGGGATAAAATATATCCTATGTCCTTCCCAGGATCTCCAACTATCTTTTTACCAAATTTCATCTAAATCAATTCAGTAGTTTCGGAGCTTATTCGGTACAAACAATCAAATAAACAAATCTTTTCTCTTTATAATATTAGTATTGATATATTATTATCACATATCTTGCAGTTAAAGAGAACATTGTAGGCAAACCTGATAGAACCTAACTAGTTTTCAGAAGATGTGTGAAGTCCACCAACTTGCACTTGGCCAGCGTGGACAATGGTCTAATGATTTCACTTTGAAAAGAAATCCGTGCCCTACTGGGGGACATTAAATTGAGCTAAAATATTTTATAGACGACACGTTTGGCTCAGTTTGTAATGACCCTACCTTCTGTGCCAGTTGTCACTGGTTCGAGTCTCGCTAGGGGCATTCATTTGTGTGACGAGCACGAATGTTTGTACTTTAGTCATGTATGTATCTAAAGTTATATATGTGTAGTGTATCAACTATCTGGAATCCATAACACAGGCCTCGTAGCTTACCATGGAACTACACGGTGTTGGGTGTTAATGTCCCAACATACTTTATAGGCTTGTCGAGCCTTTAACCACGATCCGTTGAAGAGTTAAAGCGTAACATACAAACCTTATTCTTTGGAAGTCTAATTTTCCGTCGATAACTATAATCCAAAATGTTACCACCAAAAATTGAAAACTGATTCCGTCTTCCTATTTTATATCCTCAAGAAGTCGGTAAAGCTTTAGTTGGAAACGTCCCATCAAACTTTGATAGTGAGAAACAAAAAATATATATTTTTATGCATCCGCCATGGTTTTTATCGGCCAAGAGAACAGTATGACGCAAGTTTCAAGGAACCAAGAACAAAAGGAAATCTAACCGCAAGCTAAATTCATAAACAAAATCTAACTAATCGTGATCGAGTATAATGCAAATCACAATTCACAGAAGATCCTTTTATTAGACACTAGCGACTCACCCTCGCTTTGCTTGGGTTCGCCTCTAGGGAAACAAAAATCTACTGAAAATCCAGAGGCAGTCCCAAAACTAGATGGAAAGATAAAGTGTCAAAGGACATGAAGAAGTGTAAACTTTCCGAAGACGATGTCTCCGATAGAGTGAAATGGAGAAGAAAAATGAAGAAGGCTGATATGTGGGATATATAGCCAGGAAGAGAGGGAGAGATATTAAAGAAAGTAAGCAATCTGTGTGGCAAAATCGATAATCCTACTTTAATATTATAAGTGAAAGTTTTTGAGGACGGATGTTTGTTACTCTTTCACGCCAGAACGGCTAAACGGATTTAGATGAAATTTGGCACAGAGATAGAGTGTAGTCTGGAATAGCACATTGGTTACTTTTTATTCCGGCAAAGCGTACCGTTCCCGTGGGAGATAGATTTGTTTTTGTCTAAGGATGAACCCGAAGCGAAGCGAGAGTGACTCGCTAGTAGTAGCATATAATGCACCAAATCACGGTACAATTTTTGACTTTGACATCTTTTTGGCGGGCTCCATCTATATATTTTTTTAGTTTGAGTGTATAGAGTATTAGAATATTGCAAAAGTTAAGAATGTGCATCGTCTTTGGAACAGAGGAAAGATAGGGCGGGTTCTTAGTCTAAAAAATATTTATGATCGACTGTCGTGTCCATAGTTCATGTTATTCTATATATGTATGTATAGACGTAACTGTTCTGTTATACCTTCCGCATTTTTACCCGACTACGGCGAAGCCCAAAGGAGGGTTATGTGTTTGACCTGTATGTATGCGTATGTATGTATGTCCGATCCTATGTTTCCTCGTATTTGCTAAGCGGCTTAACCGTTTTCAATAATTCATACGTGTGTTAGTTTCGACTTGATAACGTGAGTGTCATAGAGTATAAAGATATAATTAAAAATTAAAATGGTGGAACTAAGGCGTCAATTTAATCTGTAATAGAAAGAAAATTCTCTTATCATATATATCTCTATTTACGAGTCATGAGAACAAACCACGATCTTGTTAAAACAAAACATGCGGAAGCTGTGCATATGTAATGTAATACGTACATACATACGTACATAGAGTATGGTTTTTTTATTATATTTCAAGACCTTCAATGTATATATGTAATATGTATCTAATAATTATTTAAATGTAATTTTTTAAGGTAACACGTTCATGCTTATATACCAATCTTACTTTTTTTGTTTTTTTCGTCTCTTTTTAATACAATAAATATAAGACTTTATTGCTGTTGTATTCAGCCCTTTTTAATGTCCCACTGCTGGGTACGCGCCTCCCTTCAATATGAGGGGGATCAAGCCATAGTCCACCACGCTGGCCAAGTGCGGGTTGGCGGACTTCACATGTCTTTAGAAACTTGCTAGGTTCTCTCAAACATGCAGGTTTATTCACGATGTTTTTCCTTCACCGTAAGGCAAGTGGTAATCACGTTAGAAAATGATTCGCACATGAAAATATCAGAGGTGCGAGAACCGGGATTTGAACCCGCTTCACTCGGTTTCCCAAGCGAGTGCGTTACCACTGGGCTACTACTGCCTTTTTATTGCTGTTTTTACTTTAAATTCTGATTGATTATGGTCAAATTTCTATCACCGGGCGAACACTAGTATAAATAATCGCACTACTATTCTAAATGTATGTTTGTTGTATGTTTGTTACTCATTCAAAGCTGCAGTAAGTTAGCTTAAAGAATAAATAAATATGTTGGGATATAATACAGCGCCATCTAGTTCCATGGTAAGCTACGAGGCTTGTGTTATGGATACCGGATAGTTGATACACTACACATATTTAACTTTAAATACATACATATCCATGTTTTTTTAATATTATGTGAAAGAGTGTTTGTTTGTTTGTTTATCCTTCTTTCACGTTGAAACAGAGTGACGGATTGGCGTAATTTTTTTGTATGGAGATAGTTGGAGAGCTGGAGAGTGACATAGGCTACTTTTTACCGCGGGAGATTATCTCATTCCCACGGGAAAACACGTTATAATACAATCGAAAAAATTATTTATGATCAGAATTACTTGAAACTTGGTTGGTATTAATGCTTTTCAATAAAATAAATACGTGTTTTAGTATTTTTCGAAATTCATTCTATAAGGGGGTAAAATTAGGGATAAAATTTGTATGAAACCTACCTTTTTAGAGATTTTTTTGTAGTTTTAAGCCGCTAGTTCTCCTAGTTATAAATAAATATAAACACCCATGACTGGAGTACAAACATTCGTATTCATCACACAATTGAATGTCACCAGCAGGACTCGAACCCACGACCGCTGGTACATCAAGTAGGGCCACTACAAACTGAGCCAAACGTGTCGTCTAATAATATAAAATAAAGTATATTCCAGATCTGTATCAAATATTCCGCATGAGTATTATCATTAAAACAATCTTAGAAATAATATTGTTCAATTGCACATATTGTTAAATAATTTATTCTCATTTTTATGTGTTTCTTGTACATTCATATGGATAATTATATTTCTTATAAATAGGCTAATAAATGCCATCCTGAAGCAGTCTGATGAATGATGGCGATTCGATTCTCGACAGAGCAACTTTTTAATTTACCATAAGCCAAATATACTAATGACATCTATACAGATAAATAAAATTGAAGTGTCTGTTTGTAATGTCAAAATAACAGCTTTTTACTAAATGCATAATATGAAATTATATACGGAACTTTACATAAATTCTAAAATTTTTATCTCTCTGTCATCCTGTTTGTTCCAGCTAATATCCGAAACGGACAGATTTTGACGGGACTTTCAGTGATAGATTTATGTTATAAGGAGTAACTTAGGGTGATTTTATTTTAGAAAAAGAATCAGTGTACCGCTCAAAAAATAAACCGTACTTAACGTATCCGAGCAAAGCGAGGGTAAATCGCTAGTTAAAAATAAAAATTTCATACTATACATATAAATTCTTAATGCGATACTTCCACTACTTTCAAGTGTAAGTGTAAAAGGTCAAAATTCAAATGTCTTGTAATCTCTACATATAATAAAATTGTAACTAAGCCGAATCTGTACATTAAATATTTTTTCAAAATCTTATTGAAATAGTCATTATTATCGATACAGAGGCCGAATCTAAATCTATATATATAATATAGTCTGTCTGTCTGTTACCGCATCACGAGGAAACTACTGGACAGATTTTGATGAAATTTAGTATGGTGATAGCTGGTTATCCTGGTCAACATATAGAATACTTTTTACTGCGGGAAAATATTTCATCTTTGAGAACTCTATACAAAACGTTAAAACTCAAACAGTGACGTAGCTATGCTAATGAAACAAATGCGGTCGCATGGGGCCCCTGATTCATGGGGTCTCCAGCGGGCGATAAACGATATTTTTATTTCAAAACATTTTTTCAAAGATGGCCTTCATAGAAATTAAAAAAACACCGCAAGAAAAAAGCGTCCCTAATTTCCGCATATTATTTCATATTAGGCAAAGGGCACTTCCATTTTTTTTGCATGGAAGCCCAAAAATACAAGTTACACCACTGCTCTCAAAGTCTAGTGGAACAAATCGACACGATCGGTGAGAGTTTAAGGCATGTGATGCTTTAAGTGATATTATTATGGTATCATGGGTCATTAGACTGGTTCATCGAAGACCTGTCTGATGATGAGGTCGAAGGGTGACAATATGAATAATTCCTCGACTCCAAACCTATTATATAAAATGAAAACTTGTTAGGAGTAAAATGAAATGTATTAAAGCTTACCTCTCTTCAACAGTTAAGTTTGCCAACTCGGGGACCCAACACCAATGTTGTTCAGGAACAATGGTCATGAATATTTGTGAAAAATACACAAAAGACACAAAAAACGCGAACGGTATCATCAGAAGGAAGAGTATTTTCTGGTAAATTCCAAATTCTCCAACGTACGGTAGTAGATCGTCGAAATCCGTAACTTTTTTATGTTTCTCTTCATTCTCAGATTTTTTACTGGCTACATTTTCTTCGTCGTTCGTGTAGGCTTTATTTATAAAGCCTTTGCCTAAATCTATGTTTGACAGATTGTTGTCTATGGTCCCATTTTCGCGGGAATCCTCTTCACAACAAGGAGTTCGCTCTTGCGGCGCCATTTTGTAGTTATAAATATTTTATAGTTTTCAGTCTTTATGCATGCTCTAACTATAGCTGGATTTGAATTCTGAAACAAAGGAATGGTTGATTTTTAGTCTAAATGGGCAGAAATCTAGTTTCTAAATATTTTATTTTTATATATACGTATTTTCTATATCTACACTAATATTATAAAGAGCTTTTTTGTATGTTACTTGGACCAAATAAACCGATTTAAAGGAAAATAAAAAATAGTTTCAAAAAATTTCAAATCCTCAAATGAAAATGTCTACTTGAATAAACTAAAAAGTTTGTAATGTTATCTTTTTTATAGCACAAAGATATAAAGCATACAGCCTAATGGTAGCATGTAACCATCTAATTTATACTTGCAAAGACCAGAGTATCAGTCGTGTTACCATATAAGATGAACTGGAAAGAGGAAAAGGACGATGGACTAAGGACTTATCGTTTTTTTTTCTACATATACCACAAAGGTATAAAGACTAGTTAGCACCGTCTGTGTATGTGTATACAGCCCTTTTTAACATCCCACTACTGGGCATGGGCCTCAATACAATACGAGGAGAATCGAGCCATAGTCCACCACGCTGGCTAAGTGTGGGTTGGCGGATGGCGATGTAACCAACCAATCTATATATACTCGCAACACTAGAACATCAGCCATGTTACCATGTAAGATGAATTGGAAAAGACGTGGTTGTACGTGGTTGGATTTGTAAAGATTTCTTACTATAGTGGTTTTTTTTTATTAAGAACGTTTATATCAATAGGGAAGGAAGCGTTTTCATAACCTTCGGCATGGGAATTGAAATCTAGATTTTGTACAAAGAAATGTTACATTTAAATAAATTTTGTCGTTATCTATATAAAATATTATAGTTTTTGAACTTTTGAAGTAATAAGCATGCTAATATATGTACATATATTTAATTTTTAATTTAATTATGATGTTTCTGTAGGATGTATTGTGGATTTAGTTTTATATATAAAAATAAATTCAACAGTCTTTATTAACTGCGCCTTTGTCTTTTCATGGGAAACCCAGTGAGGTTTCTCATGAAAAGACAAAGGCGCTGAAAAGACAGCGGGTTCAAATCCCGGGTCTCATTTCATCTCTAATATTCTCACGAATCCTTTCCGACATAATTATCACTTGTCTAACGGTGAAGGTGAATATGTATTGTGAGGAAACCTGCATGTTTGAGAGAACCTAGCAAGTTTTCGAAAGAAATACTCAGTCCGCCAGCACTTGGCCAGCGTGGTGGACTATGGCCTGATCCCTTTTTATTGAAGGGAGGCCCACCCCCAGCAGTGGGACGTTAAAAAAGGGGTTGTTTTGATATCAAGTCGCCAAAAGCATTTAGCGACGCACTCAAGCGAAGAAACGGTAGGTCACTAGTCAAAAAAGTATCAGTTTAATGGGTAAATTTTACAGTTATTGTAATAATGATGTTCTCCTGACCGATTCCGGCCACGGCGGTCAATCTCATTGAGACTAGCCAACTGCACAGGAGATATTATAGTGCACAAGTGTACGCGCAGACACAAGTGCACTCTCTATTCCTGTCACTCTCATATTTCAGTGGGACGACTGCTCGACACGACCAGTGAGAGTTAAAGCGCAGGACCAACGGCTTTACGTGCTTTCCGAGGCACGGGGGTGAAACACCGCCAACTTCCCAACTCCGGGCTGTTACTGAGACTTACTATACAGAAAGACTCAATAACTAAACTTGGCCCGACCCGGGACTCGAACCCAGGACCTCAGGGTGTGCAGCCGTACATGCTAGCCACTACACCACCGAGGCAGTTATTGTAATAACGTATACATGAATCAGTCAATATGAATGCGTGTCTTTACTCAACCTTGTATGAAACATGTTTAGGTTTTAGAATTAGCTGTACGGTTAGTTTACAATGACCTAAGAATACTATGTTGTAATACGTATTTAGTATCGTATATTTGTTTTTTTGTTATATTTTGTTTAAAATTCAGTTATTGCACTTAGTTCCGCCAGTGATAGGTCGATAAATCTATATATATATATATATATATATATATATATATATATATATATATATATATATATAGAAATAAAATTGAAGTGTCTGCATGTACCTAATGTCAAAATAACAGCTTTTTACTAAATGCATTATATACGGTACTTATAAGAAAAACATATTTTTGTTAAATTTTTGTCTGTCTGTACGACTGTTTGTCTGTTTGTTCCGGCTAATCTCTGAAACGGCTGGACTGATTTTGACGGGACTTTCACTGGCAGATAGCTGATGTTATAAGTAGTAGTTTAGGCTACTTTTATTTAAAAAAAAATTAGGATTCCGCTCAAAAAAAATTAAAACGTACCTAGGGACGTACCCGAGCGAAGTGAGGGTAAGTCGCTAGTACTATTATAAATGCATAAGTTTGTATGTGCGTTTATGTATCATTGTTACTCCTGCACGCTAAAACAGACAGATTTGGTTGAACTTTTAGACCTAGATAAACTATGACCTGAAGTAACACCTAGACTACAGTTAGGCAGTAATAAAATTTGCCAAAAAGTAGCGTTGGTTTTATGAAATATTTATTATAAATGTAAAAGGCCTCGTGGGACGTACCCAAGCGTAGCGAGGTCCTTGACTTGACACTCTAATGCCCGATTTAACCAACAACCCATAAGCTACCACCTACGTATGGGATCCCTAGCTTAAAATTCCCCTAAACTAGTCTAAATTAAATTTCGTTTTACCATCGTCTTTAAGCCCATATTTCGAGCATCTAAATTTAGGGGGCCTTTTAATATTTAGGTGACCCCTAACTGTCGGTGAAACAGAAACTGTCCCCTAACAGCCCCCTAACCATGCTTAGGGGATCCCATAAACTTGGGTGACGTTGGTGAAATCGGGCATAAGTAAAGTTAGTCTCTTTAGGACATATTTATTAATCAATCGAACTCACGTCCTCTGAACGTCGATTAGACTTCAACAGCTTTTAAATTATTCTAAGACCATGACATTGAAAACATGGTCGAAGTGGTCGGTGTTTTTAAAATTATGTAATATAAATTCGTGAACTAGACGGTGAAGTTACGTTATATTACGCTCGTTTTCGTGATGGGTGTTCATATAACACTTTAATATGTAATGTTTATGATTATTGTTTGAAACTGTTTCGGAGTTGTTATAATTGCGAAAATTTGTAGAGATGTGTATACAAATAAGTTATTAATTATATGTATATATATATATATATATATATATATATATATATATATATATATATATACTATACTATATATATATATTAAACTAGCGACTCGCACTCGCTTTGCTCGGGTTCGTCCCAAACTCGGCCAAACTGAGCCAAACATGCTGTCAAACCTTTACCAGGTTACCTGGAAAATTTTCCGGGAGTTTTGAAAATTGGTGATTTTATAGATTTTCCGAATTTCTATCTACCTCATACCTTTGCCGCGACGCCATATTGAAAAAATGGGAGAAATTTATACTAAACGTTAAAATGTAATGTTAATATATATAAATGAATGAACATGTCAAAAGAATAATAAAAAGAAATAAAAATAAAATATTATCAAAACAATTAAAGGACAAAAAAGAAATGATAAACATTGACGACTTTTGATACGTGTTTGGGTGTGTGTCTGTGCGTTTGTTCTGTATATTTTGTGTAAAAATCCAAAAATCTCTATTTAACTCTTTTGTAAGTATATTTTTTATCTATACTAATATTATAAAGAAGTAAAGTTTGTGAATTGTGAGTTTGTAACGTTGTAGGGGGTAATCTCTGGATCCACCGATTTAGATGAAACTTGGTAAGAAGATAGTTTGAGACCTTGGGAAGGACATAGGATACTTTTTATCCCAGAAATCATCCCTTAAGGGGGTGAAAATAGGAATGAAAGTTTGTATGGGGAATCAACCTAGTGAGGAACAAGAGCGAAGCGAGAGTGAGTCGCTAGTATTCTATAACTAATAAAGTCAGTGAATCAGTGACGGAAGGTTTTAATTTTTATATATAGATAATTATTGTATATTTCATTTCATTAAGTAAATAACCTTGGTTCAATATAATATAGTAAAGTTTCAAATGTATTGACGCAATAGCAAATCCTTGTGGAGAGAATGTAGAGCAATATAAGAGATACTGATACGTTCTACACTAGTGTTGTTATTCGGATTTACGTGTGTTTTTAATACATTTTTTTTTTAAAAAGCTAAAGGATAACAAAGTTAGAGGATTTAAAACGGCTTAAAATCTTGTTAGTTTTAAAAAAAAAATTAAATTATTTTAATTGTGTAATTATAAGTGCGTTAAAACATGTTGTTTTATAAATAATTCTTGACTGATTATAAAGAAGATACTTAGTTTGGGCATATGTTTTTTGTATGCTATGAGATATATTAATGATTATCTACTTATATATATAGATAATCGTTAGTATCGTATATATATATATATATATATATATATAATACAACAGTAGAGGTCGAATGTCTGTACATAGAAAAAAATGCTAAAAAGCGAGTCAGGGGGATGTTAAAAGAGAAATGGAACAAATCTAGATTTTTTTAATTTTCTTTCTCTGTCTGTTTGTACGGTCTAATCTCCGAAACTATTGGACTGATTTAAATTAAATTTTTCATGGTATTACCTTATATCTACAGTCAAAATTTAAATACTTTTTATCCCAGAAAATTAGAGAGTTAAAGAACTACGAGTATAGTTACTTATACAGCTTATTACAAAAATTACTGATTGGATTTTAATGAAACTTTACAATAATATAGTTAATACATCAGTATAACTAAAAAAGCTACTTTTTATCCCGGAAAAATGTACGGTTCCCGTGGGATAGATTTGTTTTTGTTTTTCTAGAGGCGAACCCGAGCGAAGCGTGGTTGAGCCGCTAGATTCATATACATATAAGTGACCATGAAGAGCAATATGTTAGATACTGATATACTCAACTCTAGT